GATAAAAAATATTTTTAATTATCAGAAGAATAATAATTATTAAATATTATTAAATTAATTAATCACTATTTAAATGGGTAAAAAATTTCACTTTTTAATAATAATTAATTTCACTTAAGAAAGTTAAATAAAAGATATATTAAAATATATATATATATATATTAATAATTAGTTGGTATTAAAAAAATTATATATATATATATATTAAAAGATATATATATATATATATAAATATAGTTAAAGAATATATTAAAAAATATATATGTAATTTGTTAGCAAAAAAATATTTACTAATTATTATTTTATATTTTTGATTCAGGGTGTTAGTAGAACCTGAATGAATACATAATTTTTCGATTGTAGAGACAGGGTCGTTCGTGTTACAGAACAATCGAAAATCGCATCAATGGTACTTTTTTTTTTCATTTTTAAGTTGAATGGTTTTTTTTTTGTTTTGCTAAACTTCAGTTGAATGAGTTTTTTTTTATTCTAACGTCCAATTTATAACAAATTATTTTGAATATATAATATAATAATTTATAATAATATTATTTTATTAAAAAAAAATAATGTCCGGCCGGTCGGACCGGTCACGACCGGCCGTCGGGGCCGGACGCCATTTGAGCCGTTCGGTTTCGGCGGCCGGACAAAAATATATTTTTTTTATTTTTTATTTTTGAAAAAAAAATAACAGGAGCAAAAATATCCAAAGATGGTAAATAATAATAAGAGGGCGGTGAATAGTAATCCCGTTTTAATATTTTTATCCGATTTTTGTTCTTCATTTTTTTTTTAGTTTTTTTTTATCCACCTACGTGGCTAATTAAAAACCAGCAAAAAAAGATGATGCAACTTATCTGATCACCATGTCGGGCGGCAAACGAATTGTCAAATGTCTGGTTCACACGTGTATGTGTTGAGATTTCACTTCTCCTTTTAATTTATTATCCAATTTTTTTTCTTCATTTTTTTATTGTGTTTTTCTTATCCAATCAGAGGATACAAATGAACAATGAATAAAAAATATATGGAATTTCATATATTTTGCATTATTTGCATTATATGAACAATGAACAATTTTTTTATTGTGTTTTTCACTTCTCCTACTTCATTGTATACAGGTATAAATTGCATTATTTTTCCAGAATAATTCGCTTAATAAACAATGAATAAAAATATATGGAATTTCATACAAATGAGATGCATGCGAATTTGTGGAATGTGGGATAAACGACTGGAGAGCATATCCACGTGTCTGAGTAACCACAGACTGTCCAGTTTTCTTATAATACTAGCATGCCATGCACAACACGACTGACCCACGTTAGAATTTTTCTTTTAAGCCAAAAGATTATTTTTTATAATTAAAAAACTAGTGCGTATCCCATGTGATGTACGGATAAATAATATTAAACAATAATTATAAAAAGGTCTCGAGTTTGAGTCATCCAATAAAAAAATGGAGAACCACTATTAAATATTATAAATTAAAGATGAGAGTAAACGATATTAAATAATAATTATAAATTAATGATGTGTAGTTAACATGTCATATAATTTACGGTATATCAATTTATTATAAATAATATAAAATTAGCTTGTTTAAGAGAATATATAATTTGTATGTTTAAAATATTAAAACTTATAGAATATTATTTTAACATATGTCAAAGTATCTAAAATTTTTTATATTATTATTATAAGAAAACATGTATAAAAAATTAAATTTCACACTTATATGAAAGACATTTTCTAAACTTTTTTTTTGTAAAAAAAAAACATGCCTAAAAATATTTAAATTTAATATGTATATGTATATGTATATATAGATAGAATATGATATAATAAAATATCATATAAAAGTATCTAAAATATTATAAGCCTAAATAGAGACATTATAAAATTTTTGAGAGAAAATTTTCCTTGTATATATAAAATAAATATTGAGATGATAACCACAATGTGTAGATGTGTAGATAATATATTTTGTTATGATCTTATCCCATATATAATATTTATATTCAATGAGGGATATTGAGTTTAAATTTAAACAACGAAATTTTACCATCTTTTATATGCAATTATTTATTCTGCCCGATTTTATGGCAATCGAATTGCAAGAAATTTGAAATTTAAATTAGCAATTAAATATTGCATCCGATTTTTATTGCAATTAGTTTTTTAATATAAAAGGAGAAGATATAAAGTTTGTTACTGTGCCTAATTTTTTAATATGACCGATTTTTAATATTTAGTTATATAAAATAAGATATGATATATAATCTAAAAAATGTTGCAATTAGTATAATAATATTTAATTTTGAGGTAGTTTATTTATATAAAAAAAACTCTAAAGCTTTACAGTTTCTTTTATACTATTTTGTATATGCACGTGTTTTAATAGATAACCACAATGTGTAGATAATATATTTTGTTATGATGTTATCCCATATATAATATTTATATTCAATAAGGGATATTGAATTTAAATTTAAACTTCAAAATTTTACATCTTTTATAAGCGATTATTTATTCTGCCGGAACTAATGGCAATATTGCAAGGAATTTTGAAATTTAAATTTTCAATTAAATATTGCATCCGATTTTCATTGTAATTAGTTTATGAATACAGAAGGAGAAGATATAAAGTTTGTTACTATGCCTGATTTTTTAATGACTGATTTTTAATATTTAATTATATATAATAAGATATGATATATAATCTAAAAACTGTTGCAATTAGTATAATAATATTTAATTTTAAGGTAGTTTATTTATATAAAAAAACTCTAATACTGTGTTTCCTAATTAATAATATTCATTCGATTTTATGTCAAAAAAAGTTAAGGAATAGTAGAATTTTAATTTTAAATACGAAATGAGAGTTGATTTACAATGCAATTCGATCTTTTTTTTATTTACAATGAAATATGTTTTTTTTAAATAAAAAATGAGTCAGCTTGTTCATGTTTATCCATGCCTGTAAATTAGATACACAAAAACATAGACCATTTAAGGCCAACCGATATTTTAGGAAGTGAATTAAAACGTAAAATAAAACAATTAGCTGAAAATAGTATGTAATTAATATGGGTTGACTTTTCCTTGTTACTATTTATAGTAAATATTAATTCTTATTATATATATATATAGATTATGAGAAATAATGAAAAAAGGTACGTTGAAACCATAAATAAAGATTTGACACTAAATATACCACATCGATTAGTGTCTAGATCTGTCACGACTCACGAAAACCTGAAGAGACGTTGGCCAGTTGCTATACTTCTTTAGAGTCTCCCTTGCCCATGGTTATGCTAGTCGTCTAGCACGTCCACACAGTTGTGGTCCATCCCTTGGCTCTCGAGGATGGCCATCACTCTCTGCGAAAACCTGCACTATGGGCCCCCTCGAACCCTTAATGAAGGTCACCACATTGTTTTCTTTCAGCAGGTTAATCAGAATCTCCAGAGGCACTGCACATCACGGTCGGAGGTCAGCCGCAGGTCGGCCTTTTTGCATGGGGCGTTTTTTACCATGTCGAGTTTCCAGGCAGGACTTTGCCAGTCGAGGCTATGTGCTCTTGCAGCCACGATTTCCATGTTTCGGTAAACACGTTTTTGCCGAGGTCTTCTACCACTGCAGAAAATAGATGAATTGCGAAAAATGAATGAAGCACAAGCACTGACAAAACTACGTGGTTTATAGGGGGCTTAGGCCCCTGAAGTTTTTAAACATTAGGATTGAAATAGTAATTTTAACTTGAATTAAGGGAATTCGAGATGTTAGCACTAAAACTATTATGAAACAATACCACAATTAGATAATAAAAACAAAAATGTTATGGTGGTGTCCTATAGCAAATGGAAGTTATTTGATTTTGAATATCCATGACTAATTTCATACATCTGCATTATGAAAGTTGTACTAATATAAAAATGTTTTCTTTTTATCACCAAGAACTCTTCTAATTGGGAGCACGCGATAATCAAACCAATTGAATGTCTAGACACCAATTTTTCAATCTTTTGTACAAACAACTCAAAGCTTCGACTGTTACTGAATCACATTTCTTTTCTAATCACATCATTATTACATACCAGTTTATTTCATTTTTCAGTTTTCACACGATTTAAGAGAGTATATATTATAATTGTTTGAGAAAATAAATTTAACAATATTGGTTTTGGTCAACTATTACATGGTTCTTTGTGAGCAATTATAAAATAGAATTTTTATTGTAAAAATCAATTTCCCACAATTTAAAATGAACTTTAGATAAATCAATAAACTTATTTATCTAGTTCAAGTAGTAGATATAAATTATAGCGTAATTGACAAAAAGAAATGTACCAAAGCAGTAATGCATTGTTCAATAATAAGCACTAACATCCTACAGCAGAAAAAAGAAAAAAAAAATCATTCGATTAATTCATTCAATAATCCTTAAAATTTAAACTCACTATGCTAATAACAGAAATTTGATTCAGAACAAAACAGACTAACCATCTCAAGCTAAAGCCTTCCTAGGTTTGCTTGCTGCCAATTGTGACTCGGGCTGCAAAATAAAACAGGAAAAGAAGTCAGTCATGAACCGGGGAAACTATAATATCAGCATTTACAGACCCAATACAGAACTTTTTTGGCAAACTGAAACTAAAACCATAGAAACAAAGATAGTTACCTCTTTCTTGGCAGGCTCTTCTTTCTCAGATAGAAACAACTCAATATGATAGGGGGGTGACATGTAAGCTGAAAGGAATTTCCTCATGTTAGCAGCTGAAAAATTTTATTGAAAGAGTTAATACAAACTTAACATCCCAATTCACAACACACAAAACCAGACATTAGCTAGCGCGCAAATATAACAACTAAACTGCAGAATAATTCAAAATTAAAATTACTCATTAATTTAAAAGAAAAGGTTTGACATACGATTGATTAATCCATGTGTGCAATATGTGCGGCGCCTCTGTTTCTAGGCCCAGTCAAACTGAATGTGGGAAATAAGGATTGCATCCACATCCAAAGCTTTCACCTGCAATAAAAAGACAATCAAACATGAATCTCTAACCAAAATAAATTCCAAATTCAGATGGAAAGAAATGGGAAAAAAATAAGACTAAAGTAGGGTACCTCCGCGTTGCTTTCAGCATTCCTGAGTAAATCCAAGATAAACTTGGCAGATTTCACAGGCTAACATCCCTAACTGTTAGAGTGCCTGTTCTTTGCCCGTGCAGTTGGTGAGTTCCATTAAATCATTAAACTAATCCATTCAAGGATGTCATTTTTATGTTTGCAATTTTGAACAGACCAAAAAGAACCACAGTCAAAACATGCAACACATACAACACAGATGCATCCACAGAGCACAAAAAGCCAACTTTAGAAATACCCAAGAACCAATTTACCGAAATAAAACAAAGAGGATTGTGGCCACAACAGCCTGAACTGCTTGTTGGAGGAGCACGCCCTTGATCACATCTCTGTTGGACACCAAGTTATTCTGATCTTCATTCTTCCCCGTGTGCATCATGTAGTCATCGAGCGACCCCAACAACTTACAAGCCCGAGTAAGCCCAGTACACACACGAACCCTAATAATTTCACCTAAATTGTAAAAGTATTCAAATCAAAAGACGGAGTTTACCTAACAAATAGCATCGACATCGAAATCGGCTTCCCTAGAGTCCATAGCCTCCATGCCATTCGAGGTTTGATCCATTGGTCCATAGGTGGGGGAAATTGCACCGTTGTTCACGCCGAAGCGCTCGAGCCAGACGATGATAGAAAAATGAGAGCGGAAAAAGAAAAAAAAATTGAAGAGATTCTTGCAAAGGAAATAAGCACGGCCATGACAGATTGAGATTTGGAGCCTAAAAAGTAGGGTGGAAAAATTACTTTTAGGAGACGAATGGAACTCGCAGGGCAAACAATGCAGACAAAACGACGGCGTTTAATTGAGGGTGATGTGGCTGCATATAAAATGGAGGGACACGCGTCAATTAGAGAAGGCTAGTGTTTCTTTTTATAGATAAGAAAAATAAGATAAGAAGGTAGATTTGTAGTTTGTGTTGTAATTGGAGCGGTAAAAAATGGGCCCGCGACCGCCTATTGACAAGGGGGCTGGCCCACTACCCTGGTAGGTCTAAAAAATACAGACCCACTCCGTCCCCATCTCGAGTTGCGAGTTTGGCGGGCCAAGCCCGCAATATGAAAAAAAAAAAAAATGGCCAGTTGGTCTCGTATCTCTTTTTTCTCTTTCTTTCCCTAATTCATTTTTCTCTTCTTCTATATTCCCATTGTCGCCTACCATCCGTCCATCGGCGAAGGGCCGCACCACTTTGGAGTTCTCCGCCTGAAGCCACTGATGTCCACCGTCCGCCGCCTAAAGTCGCCACCGTCTGTATCTTAACCACCTTCAAGCCAACAAGATTGAACTCCTTCACGGTGTCACTATCGTCGTACCTTATGGAGTGCGATGGCGATTCCCGTTTGTTCTACGGCGGCTCAAGCATCGTGTGCTATGATGATTTCCTTAGGAATGAGAGTTCAATGGCTATTCCCGTTTATTTTGTGGGTGAAATTATTCAACTTTGCATTGTTCTATTTGGATATAGCGATTGAGGTCATCAGATTTAAAAAAAATAAAAAAAATAAAAAAAAAGTTGAGGGGGCTGCCCACTTCCACCCGCTAAGGCAAAATTGTGGAGTTCGGGCGATTAGGGTTAGAGCTTTGAGGAGTTGAGGGGACTGGGGAGGCGCACATAGATTTTCTTATCTTATATTTTTGTTTTACAAGTAACTGATAAGTAATCTTCTGTCTCAATCGCAATGGACCACAATATCCAAATGTAATCATCAAATGTAGACTGCTTACTAAACATGATTCTCATTCAAACGAGAACAGTGTTAACAAAAAGCTGAGCTTTCAGTATACACACCAACAAGTGGCAGCTTACAAACAGCGGATGCGGGTCGCACACGACAAGAAGGTCAAGATTCGATGCTTCTAGATGGACGACCTGGTGTGGAAAAGAGTCGACGTGACGAAACATGTGGGAAGGCTCGAGCCCAATTCAGAAGGTCTAAATGTGGGCAAAAACATGCACGCGAGAGGAGCCTATTCTTTGAAAGACAATAATGGGAGACCTGCCCAGGTCATGGAATGTCATCAATTTGAAAAATATTATGCTTAATTTTTATTTTTTTTCATTTTTGCTCGATGTAATTGACATACCTCTTATGATGATTAATGAAGATGTTTGCTATTACTCTATTTTTGTGCTCTATGGGTTTGCGTGTGACCTCAGCGGCATGTCACCGGTTGGTTTTCCGAAACCCCACATGGTTAAGGCCTTCGGGCTAGATGGTCGCTTTTTTGAACAACCCCAGTTGCAGGTTAAGCAAGTGTTGAAGAAAAAATCCACCATGATTAAGGCCTTTGCACTAGGTGGTTGATCCTAGAGTTGGGTCGCTGAAGATAAATCCATCTTGATTAAGACATTCGGGATGGATTGTCGCTTGTTTGAACGACCTAGTGGTGGGTTGGGCAAGTGTTGTAGATAAAATCTACCATGATTTAGGAATTTGGGTTGGGTGGTTGATCCTAGAGTTGGGTCGTTGAAGACAAATCTATCATGATTAAGGCTTTCGGGTTGGATGGTCGCTTGCTTGAACGACTCTAGTGGTGTGTTGGGAAAGTGTTGAAGAAAAAAGTTATCATGATTAAGGCCTTCGGACAGGGTGGTCGATCCTAGAGTTGGGTCATTGGAGACAAATCCATCATTATTGAGGCCTTCAGGCTTATCGATATCCGAGTTGGGCTTACATAAGAGTCCCGGTCCGGAGACAAGAAACTGGGGGAGGAGACTTTATGACCCGGACCTGTCTGAAAGTAGCTTCAGAAGTGTCGAGCTGGTTGGGGAGCTAAGTTGATAAGGACGACGAGCTAAACTGCCCTCGAGATCAGCACCCCGATTATCTCGGGGAAAAGCCAACCCGGGAAGGCACCGAACAGGTGAAAGTGATCCCGGAGGGTAGGAGATGAACCTAAAAGTCAAAGTCTGGTGAGAACGGGTCGGCCCTCTCACGAGTCGAGGGTCTAGAAAATAATATTATAATGCTACTTGTTAACTAATGATTGCCGATAGGATGTGTCAGTCTAGTCTGCAGCCCTACGACGTCTAGCCCGGCTTGAAGGCCTGTTCGCATTTAATGCAGCCCATACCTGCATTTAATGCCTGACATGTAATCATTGCAAAGACCTCAAATCGCATCTAATTTGTCAGGAGGACGCCGACCCGTCCCTCAGAGTTACTGTTCTACGGGACAAAATGAACAGTGAATGAATAGTGCCGAATTTAAGGCTACTATGCATAAAAGACCCCTCTCATTTATTTTGGGTTGTTGAATCCTACAACTACTACCTCATCTCTACATTTTATCTCTCTAAGTCTGTAATTAATTCCCACAGAAACGCTAAGTGTAAGAAAAGTGCTGACCTCGTTTACCGAGACCGACCTCGTAATTATATAATAAATCTCACTTTCATCGTATATCTTTCCCATTTAACCTTTTTACTATCATAACATTTTATTTTAACTGTTGATCGGATCCGTTCATCAACAGTTTGGCGCTAGAGGAAGGGCACCATAAGTTATTTGGTGTCAACATTTCGATTTTGTGGAAGACCACCATCATTTTCATCTTTTCTTCACTTTTTCACTTTCGAAACTCATCAAAAAATGACTTCTTCCGGACATGACGAGTCAACTCACCAATCCAGGGGTCAATCCCATCGCCGCGATGGCGAAAAAACCTCAAACCGACATTAACAAGGGCCTCGAGCCCCACTCCCGCCAGTCCCGACTTTCGCTGCAGCGATGCAACACCCCAACGTTCTCAAAGTCCTTGAGGGGGTGATAGAAAGTGGGGGAAAACGGGTCCGGGCCCACCAACATGAAGCGCACTAAAGCGGGGAAAACCCATATGAAGCCCAAGTGGGGTTTCATCCCAAAACCAATTGGTGGAAAGAGAAGTATCCCATTAGACTTATAAAGTTGGTCTATTTTCCATGTATAAACGATGTGGGACAACTCACAAGTAATATTCTAACACGCCCCCTCACTTGTGAGTCCTTCGAAAGTCCAAGTCCAACTGGGCTGGGTAACGGTATGTCATCGCACAGTCACCAATAGAACCGACTCTGATGCAGTCCCACTAACATGTAGTGCACCAAAAGCGGGAAAAACCAATATGAAGCCCAAGTGGGGTTCCATCCAAAAACCAATTGGTGGAAGGATTAGTAGCCCATTAGACTTATAAAGTAGGTCTATTTTCCATGTATGAACGATGTGGGACAACTCACAAGTGATATTCTAACACGCCCCCTAACTTGTGAGTCCTTCGGAAGCCCAAGCCCAACTGGGCGGGGTGACGGGTACGTCATCGCACGGTCACCAATAGAACATGCTCTGATACTATGACAGAAACTGGGGGGAAAACGGGTGTGGGCCCACTAACATGAAGCGCACCAAAGCGGGGAAAGCCCATATGAAGTCCAAGTGGGGTTACATCCCAAAACCAATTGGTGGAAGGAGGAGTAGCCCATTAGACTTATACAGTTGGTCTATTTTCTATGTATGAACGATGTGAGACAACTCACAAGTGATATTCTAACAGGGGGCTTTTGCCAAAGCGTTGGCGAGTCACGCGGCCGGGGCAAACACCGTGGTCGCGACAGAAAACTCCGTCAACACGTTACTCCAAACCCCTAACAAGGAGACCGGGGGAACAGAAAGAGGCCGGCTCGGTCTAAGACTATGGCGCAATCCCCCAATCGAGAAGCACAAAACCGCCGGGAGAAAACCATAGGCCCGGCACACGCCGAACAAACCGGTGAGAGTCGCTTAGAACCGAGCCTGAAAATCATTCGCCGGCCCGTCCATCAACGCTTGGGCGACAAAATCCAAGCAAATTGTGACCTTAGGCCACAAAGTTAGTTTATATATTTATGTAAGAATATAAAGTTAGTTGGTGTTTTATATTGAAAACTAGAATGTAAAAAGTAACCCAAATAATTTAAAATTGAAACCCACAATGAGAAAGTTGAAAATTCAGGCCTTATTGTGACACTATAAAAAAAGTCAAGTATTACAATAGAATTTCTCTTAAATAACTAGTGTGTATCCCGTGCGATGCACGGGAACAATATTATAAATAGACCTCGAGTTTGAGTCACTCAATGGCGAAAGTGGAAACTACTATTGATCCTATTTAAAAAGAGAAAGAAAAAAAAATAATTACAAATTGAAGAGGAGGATAAACGATACTTAATAATTATAAATTAAAGATTCGGGGTCAAACAATGTAAAACTATTTTGTATAAGAGAATATGAAATTTACATTATTTTGTATAAGAGAATATAAAATTTGTATGTTTAATATTAAAAACGCCTAAAATATTATATTAGTATATGTAAAAGTATTCAAAATTTTCTATATTATTTTTGAAAGATGTGAAGTCACCTACAACTTTTCTAAATAATTTTAGAAGGAAAACATATCTAAAAATATTTGGATTTAACATGGTGTAAAAAAGATTTTTCTAGACTATTTTGTAAAGAAAACATGTCTACAAATATTTAAATTTAACATCAATTATGTATATGTGTGTATGTATATATATATATATGTATATATAGACGAATATGTAAAAAAATGTCTAAACAATTTGTTTAAAATATCTATAATATTATAAGCATAATTAAAAAAGACATTATGTCAGATGATACCCTTACTTCCATCTAAAAAATTTGATTACACACCACCGAGGATGTATTGTTAGCTTATAATATTTGTAAAAATATTATTATTGTTAGCTTATAATATTTGTAAAAATATTAGTAATTAGACCGATGAAAATTAGCTTTTTAAAATAGATAATGGATTTCTAGTAGTAATTATGAATTAGTTTTTATTTTATTTTATTTTTTTAAATCTCTATAGATAAGAGATGAGATTTTTTAAATATGCAATGAGATTTTGTAACAGATAAAAGATAAACTCATTTATGTTATGAGGAAAAACGCAATTTTCAATACCAAAAAAATAGGAAAAAAGGAAAACATATTCTAACACAATTAATCTGCCGATTTTGTTGCTTTATCAATATTGTCCAACGATTACTATCTCTCTCTTACATATAAGAAAAAGTGTGAGGGATTGTATGTCTGACACGTGTCGATTTTTTCGGACATAAATGCCCTCCACTTTCACCTATTTTTACGCCTACTGCCACTGCTTTGAGTGTGAAATGGCCAAATGAGTAATGTTAGCTGTAAATATGTCTGACACACGCACGTCTTCAACTCTCATACCAAAAAGCCTAAATTAAGGAATACCATTCATTTGCTCCATTTTCCAACACCAAATCTTACCTTCCCCGATTGCACATTCGTCCTTTCTCAAAAAACACAAAACTTGACCCAAAAAAATTCTAACCGGCGGAAGACGGGGAACTACCCCACCTCTAGCGCCAATGAATGGCGCTGGCTCACTGCAGGTGCGCCGCCACATGGAGGCGTTCGGAGTGTCACGGCGGTGGCGTAGCCGAACAACACACTATCGAGACTAAGCAAAAAGAGAGGCGAACGGGAGGCTACAAGTTCTTTTTTTTTTTTATACCTTTTTCCTGCGTTTTTTTCCGAATCAGTCACCAATCTACATGTTTCACGAAGCTTTTTTCTCCATCCGCTGGCTGAATCGCAAATTGTGTGGGTGTGTGTTTGATTCTGACACTGTTGGTTTTGTCTTGAGCAGGCGAGAGAGCTCTCGAGGTGGCAATCGTCGTGGTGGTGAAGGAATATGAGAGGAGTTTCGGCGCTCCCGATCACTGTGGTGCCTGACATCCATTCTCTTCCTCTCGCTCTTCTCCGGTTTCAATCTCTCCCCCTTTCCCATTTGAATTTCAGTCTTGCTCTCCAAATTATGTTCAAATTTTTTTTTCACCATTAGTAGTTTATTTAGTGCTATATTTGAAAATTCGGAGGTGATATAAGACGGAATATTGAGGTTGTGCAGTGTTAGAAATATCTGTTACATAAGTGCATTGCCTTTTCATATCTTATTAGTGATTACTCCTCATCTCTTTTTATTTGGGTGCAGTAGCATAAAGTACAATGTGACAGTAAGTGTTGAAACTAAATAACTTCTTCTAATATCCCTTGATTTTTTTAAAATTGCTTTGTAAAATTGATTCAAGTATAACCTTAAAATCTTTACAGATCAATCTGGCTTTTTCTGCCACTAAACGTAGATTACATGAAGGACATCATGGTAGTCTCATAAGGAATCATTGAAGTGTCTTGCCACTAATATACTTTTCAGTATTATTTCCAGTGGCAGCGGTTTACCATGTTGTTGGTTGCCCCGTATTTTCTATTGTAATTTGTGTTGTTTCTGTATGGACATGGTAATATTGTGGTTGTGGAAGTGTTTTGTGTGTAAAGCCATGTCTGGTCTATAATAATTGTTGTGTTGAATTATATGCAGTTCATTTGTTATACATCGAGCTTATGGAACCTATGCATCAATCAGGAGGTAGTGAGGGTTCTGGGTCGGGCATAAGCAGACCACAATATTCTCCTAATAATTGGAGGGCCAAAAGGCAGCGGGTCAATTTCCAGTACGTAATTTGGCACTCGACCAAACTTAAGGTCTGACGTCCTGCCCATTATCGTTCAACCTGGGTTGGTTTCTGCCATTACCACCCTTCAAGGCCAATAGCCGTCAGGTGTGCCTTTGCGTCTTAAACTAACTCAAGTCTTTTTTTTTTTTTTTTTNATTTTTTTTTTTTTTTTTGTGTGTGTGTGTTTTGGGTGTTGTTATTTCACGAAATTATGCCGTATTTGTGTGATCATTCTTAACTTCATCATCTAATAAATTATTTTGTGGTTTGGATACAGGTTTTGGTGCCCTGTCTTTCGCAGACAATGTGGGTTTCGTGGATGCCCGGTAGGTACTCTTGGGGTTGGATTGGAGTTTTACTTTCAGAATGTTTTTCGTGCATGCAGGCTATACTTTTTTAACTGTGCGTGCCTGGGCTTTTCCGCAGGTCTTTCTACAGGTCGGGACCGCAGAACGAGGAGCGTTCATGGCTCAGGTTTCCTGCTTTGTCTTTGCTCAATTTAGAGAAATCGTTGTACCACAGTTTTGTCCGTACGTCGAGCATTTCCAGTGCGGCTTTGTCTGATCAAAGTTCTGTGCGTTAGACCAAATTCAGTTGCGTGGGTCGGCGGAAGATCTTTTGGTGTCAGTTTCGTATAAATTCGGGTATTTTCCTTTGGATATGTGCTTTAAACATGTGCGCCACCACATAACAAGGATCATTTGTACTCTGTGGTTTTATGTGATTGGGGATTTTCCAAGTGGGCTATGTTTTTTTAATATTTTGAATTTTTTTTAAGATTTTGTGTTGTGATGATGCAATATATGTGGACTAGAGCTTATGCTCTGGCATTTAAAGACTAACTTCCGTTTCTTATTTATCGCAGATAATAAAGTAAGATGAGGTTTGCTTCCCTGTTATACACGATAGATTAATTTAGAATTTAATGCTTGGGTTATAGTTTTTATTTTTTATTAATTATAAAACAAATGTGTTCACAATGGACCCTAAGCTTTCTGCAGATGTGCTGAAGTAATTAATTTTAATTATGTGCCTCCATTATTGTTGTTTGCTTCTATAGTATTAAGATTGAAGTCTGATATTTTTTGTTTTCGTTGTGTACTAATTGCCAGGCATTTGGAGAAGCAGAATTAGCTTCTATTGGATGCATAGAGGTTAATGCCTGACGAACTACACAAACTTCAGGTTGTAATTTTGATGTTTATCTTGTTTTTCTTGATTTCTAAATCTATGTGCTTGATTCATATATTTTAATTAGTTCAAGTTTGAAATAGGAATTATTTTTGCATTGTTTATCATCTTTATATAAATTGGAAGTACTATATCTGAAGTTGATGATAGGGTTCATTGGGGCTGTAGGTCGAGGAAGAATTGCAAATGTGGATGTATTATGAGTTTATGGCAGCTCAAGGTTTAAGGAACAACGTATATATCTTATCATCCAAGATGTTCCTTCATTTTATTGTAATGCATATTGATTATTGCCTTTTGTTGTCCCATGTACATTGAGGTTCTTGGATAAGTTCGATCCTACCGTGTGGGCATTTATCACTGTTGGATCGCGCGCACCCACACACATACACATGCGTGTGTGTTGGTCCAACAGTGATAGAACCCATATGAATAGTATAAAGGAATTGATTGGGTTCTTTTAAGCATTTAACTTTGTTTTCATTGTATTTTGCTTAGGGATTTATCTTTATTTTCATTATCTTTTGCTTTGGTGTCAAGAGATTTAACTTGAGTACTTTATGAAATAAAAAGTTTGGTTCCAAGTGATTTTCATATCTTCACTCAGTGAACAAGATTTTAACAATTGCTTCTTGCAAAGCCTTTTTTTCCTTACAATTTTTTTAGTGGTTCCAATGCAATGCAATGAAAGTTGGCTTTTCGCCTATTGGGTTAATCTCTACAATCTTAGCTAACTAGAATGATTTATATTGTTTTCCACCTTTAAGAACCCTGTTTGGTGTGCTTTCTATATGAATTCGATATCTCCGTGTGATTTGGCTTTTAAAGCAATTAGTTTAATGGGAATATAATATGCTGAGAATTACTGGGTGGAATGATGATTGCCTGAGAAATTAGAATGGAACTTCATAAGAGAGATACCACCCTACAAAGTCATAACACTATGACTACTTGCAGTGGAGTATTTGAAATTTTGCTCCAGTTTGCCAAAGTTGAAAGATATATGAGGAGAAACAAGGGTTATGTTGATTCGTTATTTATCGGGTTCATATAGAAAAGCTTGAGCCAAGACACTCCGGCTGACCACAATCACCGCAAAGGGACCTCTTCTGTTACTAAGCGGGTTGTTCTTTCTAGCTTTGTATGAAATAAAACTGAGTTCGGTTATAGTGACGAGGAGTTTAGTTTCGTGGTTAGATTTATGCTTTGATATTAATGTTTTTTAAATGCATTGGAGGAGTCTTTGTTTATGTTTCATGGGTAGATTTCTTAAGATTTTTATTGTTTCCTATTTTTTTGCACAGGAATACTGATTTTCGCACGACCATTGTTGCAGATCATCCCGAAGAGGGAGCAAACAATGTAATGGTTGGGTTTTATGCCTCGACACCTTACCTGATCGAAATAATAGTGTCACAAGGTCTTTCATGTTCGCAGATCCCAAAACAAATTAAGGTGTGTATCGCATCACGTCTTCTTGACACTATTCATAAGTTCTCACATCGGGTGGATCATGTCATTTGTAAAACATAGATAATAAATTACGATTTTGCTTAGAATTTGTGTTCATCCTATAAGGGCAAACACCTCATCTGAAAAATGTTTGTTACGTGAATTATACCTCTTATGTTCATGGTTACCTCATGAACTTTATGTTGGCCTTTTGGATTAATAAATTTGACATGCTAGCTGAGTTTGACGGAAGAAAATGTAGTTTTCATAAACGTCTTGCAGGCCATGGCGAGGCCGATGAAAGCCCCAACTTGGATCTTACTTTGGTGAGTTGCATTTATTATTATTGTTGTTTATTATTATTACCATTCTTTTTTCTGTTGACAAAAGGGTAAGTATATTCATTGTTTTGGGCAATTTTTGGCTTTTATTGCATGTATTTAACTTTGAGAGCTTGACGGATAAGAGCAAGCTCGATGCACAACCCGAACTATTCATTCACAGCATCCCCGACAAGATGAACAACAGTCATGCTTATCTTATTGGCCCTTTACCCAACTCTCGCTGTCTCTGCCACATCCCCCTTTACTCATATACAGGGTAATAAAGGAGTCATTAAAATATTAAGAATTGTAAAATACCGTCTTTGAGCAAATACTTATATAATTTTGTTAGGTTATGCTATCTCTGTGTTTTTTTCAGGATTTTTATTTTACTTTTTTCCTCTTTCCCAGTAATATCTTTCGTGGAGATTTTCTATATGAAGGTAAAAGTGTTCACCTTTTTTTTATCTTAATCAAGGATTTTGTGGGGTTTAATGTTACTTTTCATGTGTTTAAGAAAATCAAGTTTGATTTTTTTTGTTCCTTTACTTTGTTTATCGTTGGTATTTGCAGCTGGTAAATAGCCTCAACAATAATTTTTTTTATATTTATTTTTCATGTAAAGAAACAAAATCTACAAAACCAATAACATCCACAAACATCTATATTGCATCAATTAGTATTATTATAGTGAGATAATTAAGTTAATAAAGACTAAAAATATACAATTATTTGTGGATTAAATTATACTCATATGCGGAGTTACTAAATACTCAATTTTTACACTTAATGTAGATAAGAGCAAGCTCAATGCACAACCTTAAAAATATTTGTTTGAACCATAACCACATGTCTTCGAAAAAGAAATTAACGCTTTTATAAATTGGTTAATACATGTATTTTAAATTTTGTCAAATATTAGTTATAATTATAGACTGAACTAGAGCCGGCTGTGCGTGCACAGCCACCGGCCAACTAGTATATAGGATACATTTAATGTATTTGACGAGAAAACATTTGTAAAACGATTATTCTTTTTATATAATGTTAGATTTAAATAATAAAATATATTTTATAGTATATGCACGTCATCAACACTAGTTAGTTGGAACGTAATACTATTAGAGGGTGATTGGATATGAATTTAACTAGTAAAAAACTAGTTTTTTTTTAACTATAGTTAAATTTATAAAAAAGTAGTATGGTTAGTTGTTAGTGGATATATTAAAATATTATTTAAATTAAAATAATTAAAGTTGATTTGATGTAAAAATAGAAGAAAATGATTGGAAGTGATGGTTAGTTAAAATTATGTGAGTGGATGAATAGTGAATTAAAGTTGATGTGATGTGTAATAATGATTGGTTAATATTATTTAATTATATTGATAATATTGGAGATAATGAAGTTGAGTTAAAGTTGAGTTAAATTTGAGTTTTGAGTTGAATATTTACTGTGCAAATTATATACAATCACACCCTTAATAGCCATTCCAAGTCGGGAAATGGGAACCGACGGAAGCATATTTTCTACTATTATTCAGTGTATGGTGTGAAATTTCTGTTTCTGTAATCTGCAAAGCCTAAAGAGGGGTATGTCGAACGCCATCGTTAACGGGATGGCCGGCGCCGGCGGAGGTATCGTTGCCCAGATAATTACTTACCCTCTCCAAACGGTACCTGTTTTGCCTCCTTATCAGTTCACATGAGTATTCTTAATTAGTATTTTAGTTTCTACTACAACTAAGCTAATACTTCCGAAGTTCTAGTTGCTATTCCTCTTTGAATTATTTTGATGTTCAACTTTTGCGTTGTGATTCGTATATGTATACTATCATAATTGGGGTATAAAGCTGCTGCTGTTGTTCGATTGTATTGCCTTGAAATCTTTTTCTTTTTGTCTTTATGATTTTATCACTTTAGGTGAATACGCGCCAGCAGACGGAAAGAGTTGCTAAGGAGAACTCAGTTCCACCATCTGTCTCTCGGCCGGATAGGAGTACCCTTCTTCACATTTTTCAGGTTTAATCCTATCAATCCCAGCTGCAGCTTTAGTTTTGGCATCACATTCAAAACTTTCCTATTGATTGACTAACTGTTGTCTACAGGTCATTAGAAATGAAGGCTTAGGAGGACTTTACAGCGGCCTCAAGCCTTCTCTGCTTGGCACTGCTGCTTCCCAGGTGACATTTGCTGCGTTTTATTGTGTTTCTTGTTGAGTGCTTGGCGCGTTGAAAGAGTATTTCCTCATGCATTCAGATCCCTTATTTTCTATGTTCAGCTAGATCGTAGTTAAACATTTGGTAGACATGGTTGGTAGCAGTCTCAACTCAAGTATATTAAATTTAAGTTAACTGAGCAGATTAGTGATTGTCTATATAGATGAAGTGGAGTTATATAGATATGAGTTGTGAATATTGGAGTCACGTCTAGTTTTGTGAACATATGATTTTTGTTTATTGATTTGATTTGAGATTCTTCCTCTTTTAGGATTCGGGGATAGATTACGTGAACTGTAAAGATCTTAGAAAAATGGCTGTTGGATCAACGTTGAAATTTGTATCCATATTACCATATTCTTCTGGATATATCTGTTTTGATGTCAGCTTGAAATCACCTCTCTACACTGTAATGGATGTGATGGTTCTCAATTGATACTCTCATTTGTGAAGCATCCAGGGGATCTATTATTCTTTTTACCAAGCTTTCAAGAACAAGGCTGAGGCTATTGCGATTGCAAACAAAAGGAAAGGAAAAGGGGATGGTTTGCCAGGAATGCTTTCTTGGCTTATAGTGGCTGCTCTTGCTGGGTATTCTCTCATGTGCATTATTTGGTGACTTTTAACCTTTGTTAGCGGCGCTGCTGGCAATCTCGCTACAAAGTGCTTTTCTTGACTCTTACCTGAGTGTGAATTTGTGTACTGTAGGTCACTAAATGTACTGTTCACCAATCCTATATGGGTACTCGTGACTCGTATGCAGGTAGCACTCTTATAGATATCTAAAGAAAACATTGTTCTAGAAAAGTTTGCAATAATTTTTTTTCCCTTTTCTTTCTGTTGATCCATATATTTCTGATGGCATTTATGCAAAATGTCGTAAATGCTCATTCCATATGATGATGCATGCTATTGAGAGCTCTGACTACTTGCTTCACTATGAATCATGCCATTTGTCTGAAAATGAGCAATCTGCGTATTTTACTTACTTCATAAATTATTTGAATTCACAATTTTCTTTCTGGAATGATGTTTCACTCGAGTTACAGACTGACATACTCTTCTCAGAGATTGCGAGTAAGGTTTCAGTTGTACAAGTATTCAAGTCACTTGCCTTTCCAACTGTCATCTAAAACTTTGATCAATTTCTCGGGGGTACCTTTTGCCGTAGACATTCTTGGATCTTTCTGGTAGTGCTTAAAGTGCACAGTTTGTGGCAATTTTCAGCATTTTTCTTAGTGAAAGCAGTTAGATCAATGCTCGTCATAGTTTGCAATGTTGATAAGTTGAAGCTATTTCTCAGGCATGGTTCACTGCTGCGAGGCATAATTTTTTGTTTCATACATGTAACCACATATATTAATTCTGCATCACTATGTAGCTTAAGTGGTATCAATTACCCTTTGAAAGGGCATTCACCAGAGATCGAACCATTTATGTTGTTGTGGGTAACTTTTTCTTATTGTCTTTTCCCCTCTACACTATTCTTAACGATTACAAATAAGTACCCATATCTTAGTGATATATGGCCATTTAAATTTCATTCTCTACCAATTATCTCCTGGGGAGTCCAATCTGTGTCATCCCATGGAACTTTGCTACAGTAAAAATGTTGTAAGAACAGAAACATTAACAAGTATTCTCTACAGAAGGACAAAACTGGGGCAGTTTAGCTGTAATTGTCTGCTGATTTTGTTCAAATTTTTATATTAAGATAATTTATGCATATGGTAATTTATATCGTTGTTGAGCGATGATGTATCACGCAGCGCCGCCTATGCATCACTAAGCATGGGCACTGAACTAAATTTGGTTATGCAATGTTGGTTTTCATTTTCCTTTCTTCCTCACTGTTAGTTGAATCTCAATAGAGATGCATATAAATAGTAACTTTATCTGTTGGATACCATAATGATATTGTGAATTCTGAGGATATCTTTCTTCTAACGTTCATTCACTACAGACCCAGACTCAAGCGGAGAGAAAAATTATGGAGGCGAAAAGGGAAGCTCTGCTGAAGGAAGCTTCAGCGAATGTTTTGTCACAATCTTCTTTGTCAAGCCAGTTGGCCAAACTTGATTCAATGAAGCCTCGTCCTTATGGGACATATCAAGCGGTAAATACTATTAACCTTTTCTTCTTTCTTCTGCTTTTGTAGATAGCATATTTGTCTTTTGGCACATGTTGCATTCTATCTGGTTGGACATTTTCCTTTTCATGCCTACCTTTTCATTTTCTTTCTTTCTTTCTTTCGTTGCTTCGAAATGTTAGGACGTTCCTACCATTCACTATGTTGAGCACTCAGTGTTGTTTAATTATGCCTCAAAATGAATTTGTTTAGTAGGCATGCGAGGTTTATAATGAATCTGGAATTGCTGGATTCTGGAAAGGTATCATTCCAACTCTAATAATGGTAAGTTTATATTTTTATTTTTTAAGTAAATTTATGTCAACTTTTCTTTAAGTTAATCCTAATGATTTCAGTATTTTTGGCATGCCAGGTGTGCAATCCATCAATTCAATTCATGATTTATGAGAGTTTATTAAAGCGTTTGAGAACCAAAAAATTTGCCAACAAACGAGGTTCGACGAACATATCAGCTATGGAGGTATTGTTTTTAGGTAGCATGCCATTAAGAGTTTTCCAATTTCTCTTAGCTCTGTTGCTATAAGCCACTCTTCACGGAAACCCTCTATGTAGGAATACCAAGGTCTCTTATGTTTCACCCCACACGTTTTTAAATGTAATTTCATATAAGGTGATTGTGGAAACACTTTCTAGATCAGAATTAAATTTCGAGTAAATTGCAATTTAATCCTTTTGTTTCACTACCCAACTTTTTCGTCCCATCGAATGCTGTTTTGATTTTCGTCCTTTATGAAGGTCCCCAAGCAAATATATATAGGGGACAAAATTGCAATCTTTTTAGCAAATTCGAAGGGGACCTTTTTTGTTGGGAAAATGACATTTTTATAACTTTTTTGCTAACATAAGAGACGAAAATTAAAACAACAATTCGAAGGGAACGAAAAAGTTAGGGTAGTGAAACATACAAGACTAAGACTAAAATTGCAATTTTCTCTTACAAAGTACTCCTTTTAAATATGCATGGAAAGTCAAATTTATGTATGCTCAAATGTTAATTATGGAATTCATTTTAGACATGTTGTTTATGCATGTATTTATTTTGATGTTTAAATGGGGCGAAAATGTGTTCATGTACAACCATACAATTTTGTGCCTGCTTGCGCACATTAATGTTGGGTTCAGTGAAGAACATCGATGTTTGTGCATGTTTGAAATCTACGAAATTGAAACCTAAGCGCACGAATCTAAAGTTAGGATTAAACTGTATCTTAATTGCCAACTCTTAGACGACTAACATGGTGTATGGGACGGACGAACTGGTTGCCAAGTGACCTTTAAGTCTTCTGTTATGGTCCCGAAGCCAATTCCAAACATCTCTGTGGGCGATGACTATGGAACTTGATCTCATAAATCTCATTTGATTAGTTTTTTAGAAAGAAGGAAGAGAAAGAAGGAAGAAGACTATTTGGACCCACTGTCTTTATACCTCTTTCCTAAAACTTTTCAAACTATTTTTTCTCTCTTAAATTCATGTGGGAACGTGAATTTTTTTTGTTAATTAATTTATGAGACAACTTGATGTATTTATAGGCTACAACAGGACTTTAAGGAGGTGTTAAATAAAGACTCCCGATAGGATTAGACAACTTAGGGGGTGTTCAATAAAGACTCCCCTTCACCACATGCGAACGACAACATATGAAGCAAGCAATGACGAGCGTGTTGGTAAACACAGCGTAAGACCACACACCATAACAAATGAACACATGAAGGAACAAGAGACGAGGCAAAATCCTAACCCAATGTGATGTCGGATCTAACAAATGCCAAACGGAACACCAAAGTTGCTCTAAACACAATACTAACAACACTGCCAAGAAGTCCAAAAAATTTCGATCCAACGGCCGCTCGTGGGAAAAAATCCGGCAAGCCACGCGCCGGCGTGTGAGGATGGCTGCAGATTGTCCGCCAGCGCGTTAGGACGGTTGTAGACTTTTTGGCGGCGTGTGGGACCCATGCGTGGACTTCGACGATGAAAATTGACCCGAAGGTTGTTCCTGGGGCGGCGTGGCTATTGGTGTGGGAGGTGACATCGGAATGTGAGAATAAAATAAATCATAGTTGTTTAAGTTTTGCTCTGATGCCATGTTACAAACCTTAGTGTTTTGAATTTCACATATGAAGATCCCCTATATATATAGGGGACAGATCCAATAAGACCACTCCTTAAAATGAGTACGTGAGACTCAATCTTAGCCACTCATTTTGTCTAGATCAAAATCAATTAAAATATACATTAATTAAATAATAAAATAATTATTAGTTGACTCCGGTATTGACCATTGACTTCCTGTGGAAATCGTTGACTTCCGGCGTTGACCGTTGACAACTAACCTAGCAGCAAGAAATAAATATCCTAGCAATAAAAGACAATACACCTAGCAGCAAAAAAGAAATAACCTAGCAATAAAATACAACTAACCTAGCAGCAAGAAAGAAATAACCTAGCAACAAAATGCAACTAACATAGCAGCATCAGACAACTAACCTAGCAACAAAACACAACTAATCTAGCAACAACAGACAATTAACCTAGCAACAAAAGACAACTAACCTAGCAAGAAAAAAATAATCTAGCAACAAAAGACAACTAACCTAGCAGCAAGAAAGAAATAACTTAGCAACAAAAGACAACTAACCTAGCAGCATCAGACAACTAACCTAGCAGCAAGAAAGAACTAACCTAGCAACAAAAGACAACTAACCTAGCAGCAAGAAAAAAATAACCTAGCAACTTAAGACAACTTACCTAGCAGCAAAACTCAACTAACCTAGCAGTTACAAATAACTAACCTAGCAACAACAAACAACTAACCTAGCAACAAAACACAACTAACCTAGCAAGAAAGAAATAACATAAGAAAAAAAGACAAATGGTCAACGGTCAATGCCGGAGTCAACGCCGGAAGTCAACGATTTTCGCCAGAAGTCAACGCTGGAAGTCAACGGTCAACGCTGGAGTCAACGGTCCATGGTCATAATAATATTTAAATAATTAGAAATAAAGAATTAAATAATAAAAATAAAGAATTATTATTTAAATCAAGATCTAAATCTTGTGGCTAGGAATGAGTCTCACGTCCTCACTTTAAATAAGCGGATGCATTTGAACCAATCCCTATAATATGGTTAACTTCATCAACCTGTGCTTAATGTATTTAGATTCCTTCATACAAACCTTAGGGTTTTGAATTTCACATATGAAGATGCCCATATGTATAGACTTAGGACCTTCAGTGTACATATATATATATATATGTATATATATGGTGAACGCCATCAACCTGATGCTTAATGTATTTAGATTCCTCCTATGAAGTCACCTTATCACAAAGTCATTCGGATAGAGGGAGTCTTGTTGGATTATGATTGGAATGACAATGCCAAAGGGGCGGATGTTGAAGGATCTTTATCTGTACCCATAGTTTTAAATGGCGAATGGCGAGGCGAGGCAATTCGCCAAGGCGAGGCCTTGGCTACATATGTCACCAAAATTTAGAAAAACGACATTATAGATTGTGCAGCAATTATATATTTATGTTCAAATGATAAGAAAACATCAAATATATTTCATAAAGGCAAGAACACAAATGAAACACAAGTCCATAGCACAAACACCACTTAAGAAAGTAATTAAGGCTCCGTTTGTTTTGAGGAATTCTAAATCCCTTGATTTCAAAATTTTTGAAATATATTTTTTTTTTTTTTTACTTGCACACTCCTTGAATGGATGTGTTGAAAATATTATAAATCAATTGTCTTGAACCGATAGTGTTGACTCGCGGTGGTGATGAATTGATCACGGACGGCGTGGTCGTCAACGGTGATAAACAGTGGATTTCAAATGACTATGTTTGAGGACATTTAAAATCATTCAAAATAATGACTAAAAAACATCTAGCATGAATTTAAAATCCTCCAACTTCCATTACCATCCAACATGCACGATGATTTGAACTTGTAAATTTGAAATCTATGGATTTCATAGATTTCAATCCCTCAATAAATCCTTCAATCCGAGGTTTTTGAGAGTGAAGATTATCTTTTCTTGTGTTCTCAGTTTGGTAAAACCCTAGCTTCGTGCGTTTTTTATATTCTCTTTTCCAAAATGTGTTAACACACTTTTCTTTCCCCTGAAAGGCGCCGAGGAGTGCAACACAGGCGCCTCTTGCCACGCAAAAAGGCGAGCCAAGGCGACCTGAAGCAAGTACCTCGCGAATAGGGTCGCCTCGAGGCATCGCCATTTTAAACTATGTCTGTACCTATTTTCAAATGTTGATAGAATCTTAGTTTCACAATATGAGTTTAAAATTATTTTTGCTGTTTTTTATGGTGTTCTGATAGACTAGTGTATTCTCTTGTTCAGGAACTTTTTACCATTTTATGTTCACTAAGTACATATTCTATACCTTGGCGAAACAAGTTGCATTCTCTTTCCTATAAAGAGCATCCATCACTAAAATGTTTAACTTATGTGAATAGGTTTTCTTTGTAGGTGCTGTGGCAAAACTTGGAGCAACTGTTTGTACATACCCTCTGTTGGTTGTTAAGGTGCGAACATTTATTTTCTCTTAGTTGTGGTTCTGGATGTATACTTGAATCTTATGAGTTTCCCGGGTACAAGTTTAAGCCTGAATGCAACTGGTGTGATATTTGTGGTTGCTGAAGGGACTGGACTCTCTTAGTGCAGAAGCATCTAATAAATGAAGCTCTTAATTTTTTACGTGTTTCATGAGGCGAAAAGTTTGTGATTCTTATTGTACTTCACACAGCTCAACATTCCAGTTTTGCTACTTCCCTTACTATTTTAAAAACTGGGTTGGACGACCATGTTATGGAGTGCTCGGCACACTTGTTAATTTTGTCTAGTTGGTAGTGTATTCTAAATTCTGATGCATTAGTTGCAGGCCATTTATCTAGGCTCTATTGCCTAGGTGATATTAAGCAGGCTGCGAGTTGGATTTTTGTCTCTTAGTAAATGATACATTGGGCAATGGGCATAATTTGAACAATAGAGTCGCATGGTCCTGACATAATTGAAGGATGGGCCCCTAGCTCACAAGGAAGTGTGAGTTAATTTTGCAGATAGTTTACTGTTGTGTGATTGAATGAATTTCGTCATAATGGGATATTGACTGAGTATCCTCCAAAAGTGTATTTTCCTTATATATCAATGTTTATTTGATGCCGAGACCAATGCACTTGATAGAAGTGATATCATTGCTCAACTGAACTGCATATAAATGGTACAACCGAAACTGGAGTACGCTGGAGGTTGTGTTTATGCTTACGTTTGTGCATTATGAGGTACAGTGAAAGCATAAATGAGTCTTCTGCCGTAGTTTACTTTAGAATTGTAGATATAACCGCCATTTGTTATCTTGTGATGATATTATTTCTGATGTTATCATGTACTTGTCTCGTTAGATATTTTTCTGATTAAAAACTTTGGATATTATGCAGTCAAGACTACAAGCAAAGCAGGAAATTGGTGGAAATATGTCGCTAAGATATTCAGGTGTGCCCCATTACATCATCATTGGTACTATATTATTTTACATCATCGTTGGTACTATATTATTTAAGTTCATAGGTGATATGACAAATACATCAATACAGTTTACTCTATTGGAAGAATTTCATGTTAAAACCTTTTATAACCCTGATATGAGGGTTATTGGAGCCTGGTATCCTGTGAGACGTTTTGACTTGCTTATTGTAGATAGCATAATGTGAAAGCCAAGGGAAATAAGTATGCTTCTTGTTACAAACCTACGGTTTCTGAGTTGATGAATTCCTTTTTTATGAATGACCATATATATAGAGTGCTTCATGGGATTGTCATATATAGGGCTTGATATATTGAACCACCCCATTCAAACTCAAGCTGGAGATAGAGGTGGAGAATCCGAAACATTGAGTTTGAGCAAATGAAGTGTATGTTGTCCTCTAGTTTCTGATGAAAAAAGTGTCACTTGTAGTTCTGAGGGAACATCCTGAAAAACAATTGTTTTCTGATGACAATGAGACCGGATAAAGAAAGAATGTGTTTTATAAGCTCATGCTTTACACGATCATTGGCAATTTGTATGGCCACAATATTGTCACAAAGAGGTGTAGGAAGATTATATGGAATACCAAAATCAACTTTCAACCACCGAAGTCGTATAAGATTTGAAGTGATAGTGACAAGTGCTGCCTGTGCTCACAGGACACGAACAACCTGCTTCTTGGATTCCCATGTAAGAGGAGAAGAACATGAAAAATGCAATAACCAGTGAAAAAACGTCGATCTGTTAGATTACTCACCCAAGTAAAGTCTGAGTAAGCATGAAGCTAAACCTGACTATCACGAGCATAAAACAAATGTGCTCTCAAATACCGTAAAACACAAAACAAATGTCCAAAATGAACTCAAGTAGGAGCACCCACAAACTGATTCAATATATGAACAACTTGAGCAATGTCAGCATGACAATAGTAAGATAAACGCTCACAATATGCCGATATCGAGTGGGATCCCCAAGAGGCGTACCATCAGTGGGACAGACAGAGGTGCAAGTGAAGATCAATAGGTGTATCTGTTGTCCGACTCGAACAAGATCTTGTATGTATATGGACTGAGAAAGATAATACCCGAGTAGGGGTGGCAAAAAAAACTGAATTTTCCCGTACCGAATCGGACCGAAATGGTCCCGTTCCAAAAAATAAGGTTCCTTTCTTTATTTTTGTCCCGTTCTCGGTACCTAACCATTTTAAATGATGTCAGTATCGGTTTTGAATATTTTTGTTCCGAACCGTCCCGTTTGTCCCGTTTTATTTTGTTCGTACAAAATATTTTATATATATATATATAAATTTGGTTGTAAGGACAATGTTTATGTTAGATCTTAGATGTTGGTGAATGGTGACTTAAAATTAATGGATCGATATGTTTGTTATAACGGAATCCATATTTTTTGTAATTTGGTTTAAGTGAATACTTGAATAGGTGTGTTTGTTTTAATTGAAGTTATGGAGTTAACATGTTGGTTTTTGTTTTAAATTTTAATGGAATCAATACTCTTTGGTTTAGTTTATGTGTCCCGAATTGTTTTGTCGCGGTCCCGAATTATACCGAGCCGTTTGGGACGATGTTTCGTTCGGAATGGTTCATAAAAGCAAGACAGGTACCGGGACAAGTTAAATCTCAGACCGTCTCGGATGGCGCCCACTCCTAACCCCGAGTGAAAGTGAACCATCTCAATGCGCGAGATGAAGTCTTCAGTCTCGTAGTCTCAAGTCAAACGCAGATAAGGTGCCTTCTAAGAGAGGAGAGAATAGAATAAGGTGGAAGAACGACACACGACTGCTCTTCTTTTCGTTAGGTCAACTGCTCTTGGGATTAGACTCGCATTGGCTTATTTCCTTTCTCTAGAGGAAACCTAGAAATTGATCACTGATCCAATTTGAGGGAAGAAGTGGAACGTATGACACATAAACCACTGTATATCGCTTTTTTTTTATGCTACTTAGACTTGAATCAACCAACTGGATTTGTTCGGTCTCCTTGGGAACTTTATCTTCCAGATTTAACCAGTCTCGCAACTAAAGTCTTCTTCTGGTCAAACTACTTTTGTTTTCTGTTTTTGAACCTCTCCGATCCGAGCTAGCCTGGTCGAGCGGCTTCACTCTTTCCTTGTTCTATCAAACAAGCATCTTTGAACCTTTCAGTCAAGCATTTTCAAACCTTGCTGTCACACACTTGGCGGCGGATTAGCCCCAACCAAAAAGGTAGCTAAGGGGACTCAAATCCAACATTTGAAATTGCTGACCAAGTTGTTTCTTGACATGAGAAATATGTTCTGCATCATGACATCATCTCCCATAATCAACAGATCATCAACATATAAATGTATCTACGTGGAGAAAAAATGAATAAACATGGCAGGATCATGGTCACTAAGAAAAAAACGACTGCCGTATACCAGAGATAAAGCGCTCAAACCAAGCATGTGAAGCCTGTTTGAGATCATACAAGGCGCGACGAAAATAAACTTTCTCATGCAGATCACCTGAAAAAAAGCAATCTTCACATTGAGATATGGTCCAAGAACGAGTAGCAATCATCGCAATCAGATTACTAGTGGTCATGTGAGTAACAGGAGCAAAGGTCTCAATTCTCATCATAGCTCAAAACCTCTGGCAACATGATAAGCTTTATATCTCAATGGAACCGTCAAAGACCCACTTACACATGATAAGTACAGTCTGCAACTATAACGGAATAAAATCCTAAGTGCCATTACGATCAAGTGCATCAAGCTTCTCAAACATAACAAGTTACCACTACGGAATACGCGAAGCTTCTTGATAAGTGGATGACTCATCAGCAATAGCACTGGACGTGGAAAACTCATCCTGTTAGGTGGCTCAATGGTAGCACGATCACGTAAATTACATCGATTCTCCAAGAACAACATAGGAACAAGATGTGACACATCGGAATCAACAGGACCATCAAAGACGACTTTGAGAGTATCTGGCCATGACTTGCCGAGACAAGAGAGTGAGGCGGAAGCCTTGTGTGGCCTATTGGATGACGAGTATAGACTTGTGATAGGTGGTTTACATTAGGGAGGCTCCCTAGAAATGGGTGGTGGGGACTTTTCATGAGAGGTTGGGACTAAAGGAGATGGGAAGAGGCAGGAACATCATCACGAAAGGAAATAGGAGGAAGACATAAGGACATAAACTCTATAAAAGAAGAAGATGTGGGGTGTGCAGAAGGGTTATAAAGGAAAGGATGATTTTCGACAAATGTTACATCACGAGATATACGCATGTGAGCGATAACCCATGCTCAAGATTATACCCAAAAAGACTCACTCAACCAACTGAGCAGTCAGCTTGGTGCGCTCACGAGGAACAAGAAACACATATCATATATATCTGAAAAACCAAAGATGATCATAGCTAGGGGGAGTACCAAAAGTACCTCACCAAGACACTTTACAGATAGGATCGATTACATAGAGAAACCACACTTCACTCAACTGAGCGCTCACGAGGAACAAGAAACACATATCATATATATCTGAAAAACCAAAGATGATCATAGCTAGGGGGAGTACCAAAAGTACCTCACCAAGACACTTTACAGATAGGATCGATTACATAGAGAAACCACACTTCACTCAACTGAGCTAGTTGGTCAAGCTTGTATGACGGCTGTCGTAGATAGTTGTAGATATAACTTCTCCCCAAAATTGAGAAGGAACAATTGAGGCAATGCGAAGGGTTTGAGCGGTCTCAATGAGATGGCGGTGTTTTTTTTTCCGCAACACCATTCTGAACATGTGTACCAGGGCTGGGCAAAGTATCCTCAAAGGTCAAAAACTGACAAAACTTGTCAAATAAATACTCACCACGAGAATGAGGACGGAAAACTTGAATATTAGAAAACTGAGTATGAACCATGCAAGCAAAATCCTTGAGAACGGTGTTTCATAAAATAAATCCAAGTACATCGGGTATGACCATCAACAAAAAGAACATAATATTTATTTCAACCTTTTGTAGGAAACAGGGATGGACCCCATACATAAGTGAATAAAATCGAAAGATCTAGCATAATGAGAAGTACCATATAATGTAGTTGTCTTCCGAGCTTGCAACCCATACAAAGAAAATTAGACACGGTAGATGTACGACCTAAACCATTACTAATGAAAGTAGACAAGCGAAATCCACTAAAATGACCAAGACAATGATGCCACTTGGTAAGTGTCTAATATGTCGAGACTCGAAGAACCTCTACGACGATGGCAGCCTCAATCACGGTCCTGCTTTGACTCATTAATATAACAAGATGAGTCTTTAAATCATTTAACACCTGACCAACTTAAAGAAGATTCATTGATAACTTATAAACTTAGGTACTGAAAAATGTGAATTGCATAGAAAACCCTCATGAGTGATACGACAAGATGTGCCTTCAACTGTCTAGATAGAAGTACCATCAATGGCGGACTTGCAGCTTGTTGACAACCACTGATCAGACGTCGCATGAAATGATACCCTTGAATCAAGAACCCAAGACTGAGAAACATTACATGAGATGGAGAGATACAAGCACTTTCGTAGCAGGAGTCGTACCACGAGTCCGAGCAGCACGACGTGCACAGTAATCTGCCAATTTTTCTCGATGCTAAGAAAAACAATTTTCTGCACTATGACATATCTTCCCACAATGTTGAGAGTCTGAAGAGCCACCTCTAGGTGCACTAGCGTTGGGAGGATGTCCAGTGAGAAGCTGCCAAGACACTATGAGATATATGAGATACTGACGGAGGAGCAAGTGCAGCAAACGGAGACGAGTCTTCTCAGCAATGCTTGACCCATGGTTAGAGTAGAAGAATTATGAAGCAACCATGTATGAATGGACTCAAATTCTGCTCTAATTCCCATGACAAAGCGATGTATAAAAATTTTCTCAACAAATTTATGTGTTGAACACTCCTCTTCCATGCACAGAATGCATAGAGGTACCATGGATATCATAGAGATCAAGGCCAAGTAGTACTCATGAATTTGCTGCATAAGTTTGTGCAAGAGTGCACCACTATCCTTAACATAGTGTTGTTGCGCATAGGACCACATCTCCTTTAACTGTTCAAAAAGAGGAAATGCAGATAATAATGGGCTGCTCGACACTATTGATGATGACGACCATCACTTCCCGTCATTAATTTGCCATGTCCTAATGTTAGCCGCATTACTATTATCAGCCTTTCGTTCGGGACCATCATCAATTAAGTGGAAAGCTAAACCATGACCCCTCAATATTTTTTCCTCATAAAAACCCCACTCCCCATAATTCTGGCCATCAAGAGTGATTCATAATAATCGCATGAGTTGCCACATGATTTGAAGACGTATGACAAAATACCTCACGATGGGTGGACGATACGAGAACGATAGTAATGCTGCTAACATTAGGAATGTATATGAATGAAGTGGGCAGCTTAAGATCATAAGACGGACGAGTGACGACAAAACACAGGAATTGAATCATGTCGGATCGATTAAAATAAACGAGCCCTAACCCCGACAACTGGCTGTTCTGAAAAACGCGAAAATGGACACCAAAAAACTTCCAAAACAGCACTGGCAGCAAGGTCTCAAATATCCGAGCCCACGGAAATTCGCCGGAAAAAAAAAAATCGGCAAGTCATGCGCCCTCACGCGCCGGTGTGTGAAATGGCCTGCAACGTACTGTTCTAGCGCGGCGTGGAATTTTCTAGCGAAATTTGGCCGGACAACGAATTTTAGGGCGGTGAGATGACTGGTGTGGGAGGTGAGACTTGAAGAGGAAAAGAACCCCCATATTACAAATCTAGGATTTTTAGTTGACCTTCGATATGAATGACATATAGAGTTCTTCATGAGCCTTATGGGCCTGTCATATAGGGCCTTGGCCTTGATATACCTAACACTTCTAAGCAATCAAATTCGTCTCCTGTTTGTCTTTGAATTGGCCTTCATATACTCAACACTTTTAAGCAATCAAATTCTTCTCAAATTGTTGACTGGG